TGTTTTACAAATGTTTAAGATTATCTTTAGGACTTATTCTAAATAAAATTTAGGCAATTCATTATTTCTCTATTGAATAAATACAAGAATTATATTCAAAATATTCATTACAGAAAAATTTGATAATTTTTTTATTGTCATATAAACATATTACAATTAAATCAAGTTTCTGACAAAAAAAACCCAAAACAAACATTATAATGCAAAGAGATAACAATTCTATAAGAAATCAAAACACATGGAAAAAAGTTATTAGGTTTCTGCCCTCAGTTCTAATGACTTTCTTTTATAAAGGAGCCAATATTTTAAACATGTTCCATGTTATAGAGGTTTAGCATTTCTTTTACTTTTTGTTCTTGGTTAAGATTTTATTCATAAGATTCAAGATTTTATTCATAAACTGGTCAGAGACATTATTATGAGAAGGTAAACAATTTTCAAATAGATTATCTTATTTGATAAGTTTACAGTCTAAGTAGTTATGTTAATTTTACAAACAATTCTATCCTTTATAGGAATTTTTATTCACCATTTTCTATTTCTAAATTATGACCACTAATTCTTTACTTAGTGAAGCATTTGAGTTTACTGTTTTCATCATAAGTTTTTATTTTATTTTCAAAAATATTCTTATTTGTTTTCTTAAAATTCATTTTTAGTCAAGGGCTTTAAAGAATCTTATTCATTCAAGTCCCTGCAATTATTAACTTTATCTAAAAGGCCTGAGTTGAGTAAAATATTCTTTGCAAATGTATACCAAGAATATGTATCATGCATATGCCAGTCCTGCAGTTTCGACAATATAATACACAGAACAAAAAAGTGATTTAATTAATAGACCATAAAAATGTCACAATCTATATAGAAGTGTACTTTATTTTTTCTGGAGACAAATTTTGTCTGTTAACTGACAAAATTAGCCAAACTAAAGATAACATATTTGATAAGTTTACAATTGTTTCTAAAAGCAAGACAATTTTTTCTTTAAATAATTTCTTTATACGTCTCTTTAGTGATTCTTCATGCAAATGTCGTTTTGAGATTTGAAAAATATCAAAGATAAACAAAAATAGTTTATTCCTATACCATATAATGATATTTGTAGTTTTCCTGGATAATAATCATGATAATAGATTGTACAACTTTGTTAACAAAATTTATTGTAAAAGGATTTAATATATTCATGATGTTGATAATTTAAATTTGTGAATAAACTGGCTTGTTAAATTACTTGCTTCATGGTTCCTTTAAACATATCATTTGCATGATTATAAGTTATAATTAATAATAATTCATTTAATAATGCAAACGAACAATAGAATACCATGTACATCATGTACAATAACTTTTTTTTTAACTGAAAAGATAATTATTTAAAGGATTCTCTCTTTTGTTTTCAAATGCTAGTCAATAACTTATCCTTTGAATTTTTGTCATTTCTACTCAAGATTCTTTCCAAGAAGAGATTAAAAGAATAAGAAGCAAAAAAAAAACAAATAACAAATAATAATAAATTAAAAAAATAAAAACATTAGAAAAAAAGGAAAATATGTAAATTTAAAGACAAAAAAATCAACAAATGATATGAATTAACAAAGACTTAAACACACATTCTATTCTACATTTTAAAGAAAAGGTGAAATGTCAATTTGAGAAGAAACCTGAGTTACCTGTACATGTAAATTTTAATGAAACATACAAGCTGAAAACTTCAACCCTGATTGATTTCAACAGGTAACATAATTAGATAAAACATCAACCTATGTTTTATGACCCCAATAAATGGCCAACATCTCAAGATTGAATACCCCAATAAATGGCCACCATTCGATGGTGACCATACAAGAGGTTGGACATAACTAAGAGGAAGTCACAGGTTGTACTGTACCTTAAAGACATGGCATACAAGAGGCACTTTAATAAGGTTTAATTACATCAGTACATGTGTGTTTTACAGGTAAAAAGAAAGCCCTACTTTTCTTAAACTCGTGTATTACTTATCGAATGTAGGACAGAAAGTCACAGGACAAAAAGTCACAGACAAAAAGCCACAGGACAAAAAGTCACAATTCAGTTTTGAGATTATTTTTCTTTAACAAGAAAACACTTATTTAAAAATAAAACATTTTTGTACTTTTCTTGAACTTTAGTATATAAAGCAACTTTGTAAACAAAATTTATATAAAAAAAGTATTTATAATGATCAAATAATTGTTATGAAAACAAAATGTCAAAGTGGATTGATACTTAAGCGGCTTCATGGTGCCAAGAAATATATCTTTTGCATGATTAAAATTTAATAAATCTTTATTTATCAAGTCTAATGAACAATTTCCTCAACTGTAAAATAAATATATGTAATAAAAAGTAAATATTTAAAGATCTTTCTCTAAAATATTCAAACAAGTGTATACATATTATTTGTGACTTTTTGTCCTATCAAATTTGTGATTTTTTGTTCTATCAAATTTGTGACTTTCTGTCCGTTTACCTACTTATCTAGTGAATTCAAAAGGCCTTGCGATATAAGTTTAACAGGATGTTGCAATTTTGAATGAATGTTATTTAGAATTTAATACTCTCTGATAGGTGTGATCTTTTTGCCCCAAGCAGGAGGTATTGCTTTATACTTCACCACTTTAATCAGAAGGACAATTTTAATAATTTCTTTAATGTTTGATCCCTTTTTGATATATTCATATAATATATATCAACATGTCGAGACAATGTTGAGACTAGTCAAGTAAAATGTGAGCACAAAATCTGGTCTTTTCAGACTCTGAGCAGTTTGTAGTGTAGATAATGAACAAATCCAAAGTGATGAAGAAGATGACCTCGTAATACGAGCCTATGACAGTTCTGACAGTGATAATGACAATGATGATAATAATACTAAATGATGAATACAGTAGTAATAGTAGTAGTAGTGGCAGTGAAAGTGAAATTGAAAAGGAATCTTATTTGCCTTCTTCAAGGAGGAGATCATTTAAAATTCCAGACAAATTCAAAGACTACTATATGTGATCTATGTTAATCTGATAAAAATGAAGTTAAATATAAAAAAGAAGATGTGGTATGATTGCCAATGAGACAACTCTCCACAAGAGACCAAATGACACAGAATTTAACAACTATAGTCTGTTTGATTTATTCATAGATTAGATAGGACATATACTTATTTAGTAGATATTTCATATAGGACAGAAACTTTTTTTGGTATATTCAGAGGGTAGGACATAGCTTTTTTTAAGGGAGAAATATGAATTGCACCGGTCCCAACCCCCCAATAAATATTGACCAGTCCCTTAAAGAACAGTGAAGGCAACAAAAAAAAAACTTTGGAACAGAATAAACATGAAAAATACTTTGATATAAAATCAAAAAAATATGTAAAAATTTGATTAGATATTTTACATGTATAACTGTTTAACTAATGTAAAAAAAAAACGAATTCATGGATAGTGTTTCTGCACAAAAAAGCATGATTGTCAAATATAATTCTGTCCTCCCATAAAGCAGAATTTACCTACCCACTGTTAATTTAGAATAGTCAGATTCTAAATTAAGCTGCAATTTTTTTGAAAAAATGTATTCTACCATACTCTTCAAACATGTTAATTGTTTAATATTGCATGTATCATTTATCATAGTCAATAACATATTGTCATCTGTTTGGGCTCCTGTGTTGGCAATAAAATATGCTTATGTATTGTTTTGTTTACTTTATAACAGCAATATAGATACAGTTCACACAAAGTAGCATTATTTTTCAGCTATCCAAATACATTGTAGCATGAAATGTAGCCACAACTTTGATCATGTTTTTTGTGCTTTAACATGGGACACACACTTTTTTACTAGGTAAAGTGCATGGGACAAGCATATTTTTATTCTGCCAGTAACCATGGGATCAAGAGAATTATTTCAGACAATTTTCTTTTCGCACCGGTCCCATGCATCAAGAAATTTTGACCTGTCCCTTATATATCCAATTCTCGAGACAAATTAACAAGGAACGACTGCATGCCGAATCCATGGCAGAGACTGAGAATTCCTGTAATCTTGTGAATAACAAGTTTATTTCTTTATCCCAAGTTACCCATTAAAATGAAACCAGGCGTTAACGAAATGGAACGCGTATCTTTTGGTGTATCTAAAACGTTTGTCAATTTATATGTAGCGACATTCCTGCAGCGCCTGCATATTGAGTATATAACTTCCTGTTGATACGATATTCCAGAGCTTGTATTTTCTATCATATTTTCCTTGATAGAGGGTTGCTGCTCACAAGGAAGCTATTAAACCAAGAGTTCCAAGTGGTGAAGTTGAAATCGTCCCTTCGTAAATTTTACGAACGTTATCACGAGTTGGTTTACCGTTACGGAATATCCGTTTCACAGATGACAACGGATGTGTTCCAATTGTCGTAACTACAACCCCGTTCCCTTTTCCTCGAATGTGACCTACCGAATTAAACTTATAACCGGATTTGTACTCACATGAGCAACACGACAGGTGCCACATGTGGAGCCGCAGGATCTGCTTACCCTTCCGGGGAATCTGAGATCATCCCGAGTTTTTGTTAGGGTTCGTGTTGCTCAGTCTTTAGTTTTCTATGTTGTGTTTTGTGAACTATTGTTTGTCTGTTTGTATTTTTCTTTTTTAGCTATGGCGTTGTCATTATATTTTTGAATTATGAGTTTGAATGTCCCTTTGATGTCTTTCGCCTCTCTTTTATCGAGTCCTTCGTTAGCAAACTTAGCTAATACTTACTTTTTTAGTAAGTATTATAAATTATTAGATACACATTATATTTACACACAATAATATATAGGTCACAAATAAGTTAACATCTTCATTGTTGTCGATGGACATCTGTATAGTTTTCATTGTTAAAGTGTATCACAAACGTTAACCTTCGAAGGTACAAACAACAGATAGATGCGTAAATATTATTCAATAGCAATGTTTGTATGTAGAATGTTCGTGAAAATGCTTACCTTAGCAATTGTTATCTTCATTTACGACGACCCAGGTAAGAGAGGTTACAAGTTCATTGACAGTTTACCTTACGATGCTTATAACGGATTGTTTACATTCAGATTTAATAAAATGGTGATAAATGGAGAATTGACCATGGATCAATCTCATGTTATACAATTTCATAGAAGTACGTAATTATATAAAATCAATTGAAAACAAATCGCATTTTGCAAAGTTCATCACATAATTTGTATATTGTTTAAAAAGTGTGTATACATTGACCTTATTTTGTAGTCCTGCAGAGTTTCAACACTGTCCTTTGTGTTAATATATTTTATGGTCGGTAAACTCGTTACATTAAGTATACACTGTATAGTATACATTGAATATTATATCATACTGTATACAATATTTTGATTAAGCAATTGCACATCCAGTGTCCAGTGGTAAATATTTTATGCATACTCAGGATGAGAACAATTTTACAATAAATCCAACAGGTAAGCTGACCTGACTGGAAAAGGATTTATGTTAGATAAGGCATAACTTTTTGCCTTGTATCAGGCCATGTTTAGACAATTCAAAGAGTTGTTGCGTGGAGTCTTTAAATTACAGAGAGCGTGACACTATCTTTACACGAGGCACCGGATTTAATATTCTTATTTCGTTTTTATACATCCCGCAAAGCCAATCGGACGCCCCTCTTGTTTAGAAATATGAAGTCTCTTTATCTCATTTAATTAGATTCACAATGTTTTGAATCTTTTATGGGAAATCATTTAGCATATATGGTATGTTACTTTCTACCACAGTAGAATGTGTTGTATTTTTTCATACAATATAAGTTACACATTTTGGCTGGGAGGGGTTATTTTGGATTAAATAAAACTTACCAACATCAGTCTACTTTTATTCTCTCTGGTGTTTTTTTTTTCGGGGGTGGAATTTTTAGTATTGTCGACTCGAAGTGAAATCAAAAGATGGAAAATTTATTCAAACCGGGGAACAAAATATTATATTGGTATACTTTTAGACAATGATCGATTACGATCTCTTATTCAACAACGTGTCGGAACACAAGTTGAGGAGCAGTCCGATGATGATAGCGACGATGAATCTGATACAGATAGCAATTCCACAGCATATCTTAATGTCTCGGCATTCGAACAAAATACACAGAGCCGCAAGCCAAAGGGGACTTTATTAATAGGCAGTTCGATTATCCGAGATTTCAATCAGACTAGATTTCAGTTGGATATCGCTCCGATTTGTGTCAGAGGAGGCAAAATTTTCGATATAACGGCAAAACTACTAAATCTGCCAGAAGATTCCTATCTCGAAAACATCATCCTGCAAGTAGGAAGTAATGACTGTCTTGACAAAGGTTTCCAAGTTGAATCGTTCAATGAAGAATATATGACTCTTGTAATGAAAGCCAAATCCTTATCGGAAAATGTTGTTGTCTCTGGTCTTTGTCCTCGTCTCGATGACAGATTAGGTAACATTCACAAGGCAAATGACATACTCCGAAAAATAGCCAATGATGAAAATTTGTATTATATTGATAATGAGAGTGTCCTCCGTTTGCAGAACGGTTCAGTAAATACAAGTCTCTACGAACCGGACGGTATACACCTGTCTATTCATGGTACCTATACAGTGGCTCATAATCTTAAAATTAATTCCCAGAAGGCAAAGATAACATCAGAAGAACGACAGGTGTTGATAAGTCAAGGGGTGGACCAAATTAAGTCTCAAAATCCGAAGTCCTCTAACATAAGACATGTGCAAAATACGTCTAGCACCAGAAAGCACGTACCGTACAGGAAACAAAGAGATTATCGAAAATCTAGAGAACCATACAGAACGAACAACAGATCATACAATTCTTCAAACAGAAGGAATGACAGAAATCGTACATATAACAAAGCGTATATGAGAAACGACTTCCACAGGAGTAATGACACTTCGTCCCGCTATGAGACAATGCAAACAGAAAATGACTTATCAAAATTCATGTTGGTACTGCGGTGAATTTAATCATACCGCCTCTGTATGTAGACATGGAAAATATGTTCAATGTAATAATTGTTATGAATATGGCCACAAGGCCAAACATTGTCAACATTAGGTTGTAGGCCATGAAGAGAGTGCCGTAAGGATAGGCAACTCTGAGAAAACGGGTTTTTCTGATGCAACTTCGTGTACGCGGAAAAAACTTAAATATGGTAAAAAACATAAACGAAGTAAGAAAAAGTCGAAAGGGACAAAACCCGAAATCGTTATAGATTATCTTAATATTCGCGGTATGACATCAAAGATACAGATGTTTAATAAACATTTACTTAATGATTATGTTTCAATTTTTAGTTTGGTTGAGACCTTTCTGAAAAATGATGAACGCCCCTCAAAATTAGATGTCTGATAAGGGGACGACCATTTGATATTCTGGGGGGGGGGGGGCAGGAGGATTTTGAAAATAAATAACTCAGCCTTGATAATCACAAAAATAAATGGTTTGTTCTGTGGTAGTTCGAAAATAAATAACCTGACTTAAAATGAATAACTCGGCAGATCTTTAAGCCATTTTATAAATGCTATTCGAAAGTATGAGGTGGCACCAGATTCTTCGTAAAATTCATCTTTTTCAAAAAAAATTCGGGAAACACTTCCCAAATCTTTTAATAATAAAGGTATAAATATTATTTAAATATACTTGAAATGTCTGAAAATGGGTTTCATTTAACTTGAGGTATATTGGCTCAGGAACACTTAACTCACTTTTATTACAGGGCTGTAACTACATTGAGGCAAATGCCTTTATGTAGGAAATTTTAAAACCAAAAGCTTGTCTTCATATCAAATTGTTTTCACAGCGAGTGTTTGCAAGAAGCAAGTTCTGTTCTCCCTTGGACGTAGCACCTGTTTTTTCGGGATCAATGTTTCTTTAAATTTGTCTTTTGTTCATTGATTGCCCTTCTGTATTCTCTTAGTGTTGCATTCCTTTTGTAATTTAGTAATTTTGTTTTCAACTTGATCATGAGTTTTATTTTATCTATGACTTTTTAGCTAATTTTACAACTTAACTACTTTAAATTGTATCCCAGTTAAGAGCTACATCAAGTTGTAATTAAAATATGTTATTAAATACTTGACATAGTTATATCACTGATAATCTGCCCCCTCTTAACTTAATTTGAATAAAACCCATATAATTTACAGGTATAAAAGATTTAAATTCTGCATGCCGAAACAACAACAAAAAAAAAACAAAAAAAAAACCAACAGCCACATACTTAACTATGTGAATTACATTTTTACTTCATTCTTCATATTGGTCTTTTGATGTTGTCCATAAAAACTTAAGTCTTACGCTGAATCTATACATTTTGCTTTGAGACCAAAATATTGTCAAAAAATTATTAAAACAGAATTTGCGTTTTCAGAAAAAGAAAGGGTCTGGGAACGCCCAGAAAGCACGATTTTGCATCATTTTTTCTATAGTTTCTTTGGGCTTTCAGCAGCTTCAAAACCTTTCAAAATTTTTTGGCAAATATATTTGGCAAGACTTTTAAAAGAGGCTAGTCACAGCCAAACTCTAATACCTTGTATGTATGCAATAAAATTGAGAATGGAAATGGGGAATGTGTCAAAGAGACAACAACCCGACCACAGAACAGACAACAGCAGAAGGCCACCAATACATGTATATGAAGTTTAGAATTCATAAGATTCATTTCCACAGAGGATGATGATTAATTCTGATTAAATGGTACATTATAATGACTTGACTGTACATGTATTATTTATAATAAAAAATGAATTTAAAAATTGTGTTTTCAAATATTATTAATATAGTTATGAAAATAAATAATCAGTCCCTTGTTTTAATGAAAATGAAAAATCTTGCTTCAACAGTGCAGAAAATAAATAATCTGTCCTCGTAGTTTACAAAAATAAATAACCGATCCAAAACAAATCCTCCTGCCCCCCCCCCCCCCCCCCCCCCCCCCAGAATATCAAATGGTCTTCCCCAATTGGGTTGGAAAGTGTAAGAAAAATGCCAAAGACAAAGGGGGTATAGGAATATGCTTACATGAAAATTACCCTATTCTAGATGATAATTTATTAAATAGTAAAAATGATAGTTATGAAAGATTATGGGTACTTACACGCATCAATGGACTGAAAACGGCTGTAGGGGTAGTTTATTTGCCAAATGATGGTATAAATAAACCAAAAACAGACGAAATAATGTTTCAACTTCTTGAAGATGTTTCAAACCTATATTCATTAGGCTATGAAGTTGTCATCACTGGCGATTTCAATGGGCGATGCATTGACATATGTGAATTTACCGGGCAAAATATAATGAAACTGTCTACTTCATACAATGGCCGTCGTTTAAGTCGATTTGTTGAAGCCTCTCAGCTAATTATTGCAAATACTCTTACTTCTTGTAGTGGACACTACACAAGAATACTAAATAATCAAAAATCAGCAATTGATTATATTCTTTTATCCTCAAATATAACGGAAGCCGTATCACGTGTCTATACTGATGAATCTGGAAATTTTGACCTACATAGCGACCACGTTATCCTTAGAGTAAACATTAAATCGAATACCAAATCCCTAAAACCTAAAAGTAATACAAATGCTATATTTTGGAATATCAATGAAAAGACGAATTGACCTGTTTTTGAAAGTAAACTGAGCGAAAACTTCTCTAATTTTAATGTATTGTGTAAAGAAACTATGAATGTTGATCAAATATGGAACAGCTGGAAAGAAAAGGTAGAAAATGCAGCTATAAATTCAATCGGTAAGGCAAAAACTGTCCGGAATGATAGAAGTTTTTGGGACAAAGAGTAAGATGAACTTTTAAAACAAAGGCGCGAGGCAAATCGACTTAAGCGTATACATGATAAAAACCACCCACACAACAATGAAGTAGGCCAGCGACTAACAAATATCTATAAAAAACGAAAAGAAAAAGTTCACCAAGCTATTAAAAGTAAAGAGCGTTTAGTAAAAATGAAACAGTTCACGAGCAAATGCACAAATTCAAAAAATAAAATTAAAGGCTTTTGGGATTTTCTTAAATTAAAGC